CACTGGTGAGGCCGCATCTCGAGTACTGTGTTCAGTTTTGGGCCCCTCACTACAAGAAAGACATTGAGGTCCTGGAGCGTGTCCAGAGAAGGGCCACAAAACTGGTGAAGGGTCTGGAGAATATGTCTTATGAGGCGCGACTGAGGGAACTGGGCTTGTTTAGCCTTGAGAAGAGGAGGCTGAGAGGAGACCTGATCACTGCCTACAACTCCCTGAAAGGAGGTTGTGGAGAAGTGGGTGTTGGTCTCTTCTCCCTAATGACAGATGATCGGACGAGGGGGAATGGTCTCAAGCTGCGCCAGGGGAGGTTTAGCTTGGATGTAAGGAAGAAGTTCTTCACCGAAAGGGTTATCACACACTGGAACAGGCTGCCCAGGGAGGTGGTGGAGGCACCATCCCTGGATGTGTTTAAGAGACGGGTGGATGAGGTGCTGCAAGATATGGTTTAGTGGTGGACAGATACGGTTGGCCTGGATGATCTCTAAGGCCTTTTCCAACCCAGTGATTCTATGATTCTAAGGTGCACAGAAACCCCTCTGCCAAAGCGCTGGGTGGTCTGCATGAAGCAGGGACACCTTCCACCAGACCAGGTTGCTCAAAGTCCCATCCAACCTGACCTCAACTGCTTCCAGTGGTGGGGCATCCACAACTACCCTGGGCAGCCGGTGCCAGTGCCTCAGCAGTTCCTGCAGCTCTGAGAGGAGCGCAGAGGGGTTCATCTACCCAAACAGAGGTACCTGTAGAACAACAGTTTACTCATCCCCGCATCTCTAATATCAGCAGAGGAAAATGGTCACTTTTAGGGAGCGCTTGTTCTCCTTCTAAATAATTTGTGATAAAGCCGTTCAAGGGAACAGCATCACACAAGAGGGAGTTTCTTCATCATCTGCAAAGAACCGTCGATGCATCTCACAAGAATAAAACATCCCCTCTCCCCTCTGGCACACACAGAGCTAAATTTGCTGCCTACAACCCCGCGGCTTTTACCTACGTTTTCTGCAGCTCAGTCGACTGACTCTTAAAATGCTTTGAGAGAGGAAAGGTGTTTTGAAAGCACAAAAGGGCCATTAATATCAGATGTCAAGCCATAACAAAGAACAACTGTGCTGCTGGTGCTTTTTTGATTAGTCAGGGCACTCCGGGTTGCATTATCTCATTTGCAACTGCGACAGAAACGTGATCCCAGCCCCTCTTTGGAAAAGTAACTTTTATTTTGTTGAAGCCGTACATTTCCAAGGATAGAGTAAAGCTCAGAAGCCATAAATCATGCCCAGATAAGGATAATCTCAAACAACAGTTAGTTTGCAGCAGGATGTTGCCCTTTCTGTGATAATTGCTCGGCGTTGGAGGCAGATTTCCCATCGCCTGCTCCGACACGCAGCACAGGGGAAACGTGCCCCGTGCTGGCTGTGGTTCTTAGCGTTTGAAATCTGAGCATGTCAAGAGAATTTCTCCAACACCGCTCCCCATCTGCCCGCATCCTACAGTGCGGCAGCCCCTCAGATGCCAAGGGCTGTCCACCTGCGGTCGGAAACCACGGTGGCAGCGCGGGGACTGGCCTGACCCGAGCCAGGCGGGGTAGCGATGGTGACGGAGAAGCGGCCACGCAGACCCCCGAGGCGCCACCTCCTCGGGTCACGCGCTGCCACATCCCTGCAACGGGGGGGGGATGAGCTGAAGGTGCTGATGGAGCTGGGGTGTGGGGGCTGCTGGGGGAAGGCGTGGGGCAGCCGCTCTTGGTGCAGGACCCCCAAGAAGCTCATCGCTGTGCAGTGCCGCACAGGTAGGACAGGTCGGAGATGAGGCTGGGCAGAAGCAGGAGGCAGGCAGCTGTGGGGGCAGCATTCTCCTCCCCAGTGTTTGGGCTGCACTGGAGAGCTGTGGCCACGGCACGTGCTTTTAGAGGCTGCCGGGGGCCCTGGGCCCACCAGGCTGGTGTCCCTGTCCCCCCGCCAGCTGCTGGGCCCTGAGCTGGCTGCTCTCCTGCCTCTGCTTCCCTGCAGGAAGAGCACTGGGGTATGGACAGGATCCCATGGGAAACAGGCTCTACGTCAGGCTCTGCAGCAAGGAAGGCATGTTTGAGTAGGAAAAGATGGGAAGTTTGGTTTGGAGAGCATTGGTGGGCTGCTGTCTGCCTGCTGGGAGCAGCAGCCTGGACCTTGCACCCAAAATCCCCCTACCAACAGCCCAAAGACAAAGGAGGGATTTGTAACACACTGCTGGATTCACCCGATCAGACTCATACTGGCACACAGAACCTGTCTTCCCTTTTGAACAAAGCCAGCACTGCTTGCCGAGTGGCCTCTTTCCCCATGAACCAGCGGTGGCTGACGAAGGGTGGGACAAGGAGCTGTCCTCTGCCCCTGCTCAGCACGTCACCTCCCCACACAGAATCACAGAATCACAGAATGGTTTGGGTTGGAAGGGATCTTAAAGATCATCCAGTTCCAACCCCCCTGCCATGGGCAGGGACACCTTCCACTAGACCAGGTTGCTCAAAGCCTCATCCAGCCTGGCCTTGAAGACATCCAGGGATGGGGCATCCACAGCTTCTCTGGGAAACCTGTTCCAGTGCCTCACCACCCTCTCCCTGAAGAATTTCTTCCTGATGTCCAATCTAAATCTATCTTCCTCAATTGTTGGCATCCCTGAAGATGCCACTGGCATCGCTGCCAACCATGCCACCCGCTCAGGGTGTGAAGGTCTGGGATGTGCACACAGCTGGTTGCAGTGAACGCAGCCCCTCAGCTAGGGAAACAACCCCCTGTTGCTGCCAGGAACCAGCTGAATCTCTCTTACCCCCCTGCCCCCCTGCATCTCTACACCCCATCATTGTCCCCCAAAAGAGCTCAGCCCCACGATGAGCAGCATGAGGAAGCAAAGCTGCTACCTTGAGTAACTGGGCTTTCTTCAGCCCAGGACTGGCCACCAGCAGCACGACACTGCTGGGTGCCCCAGCAGGGCAGCAGCACCAGCTGGCACACCCCTGGGACTCCTTATGGGGTGCTGTGGCAGATGAGGGGTCCACAGCAGGGGGTGAAAGGCAGGATCCATCCGTGTAGGACTCCCAGATGCCTCTGGGAGTCCAGGAAGAGCGAATGCTGCTGCGACCAAGAGCCGCCCTGCTGCAGGCAGCTGCACCAAGAGGTCCAAAGCCCCTGGCTGAGCCAAGGCCTGTGGAAGGGCAGCACCCCTGTGCCCTCCCCCAGCAGCTGTGGGTGTCCCTGTGCATCTGGCTGCAAACCCCTGACGGTTCCCTGCAAAGCTCCTGCGTGCACCCCGGCTCCAGCGTCCCAGGTGTCGGGGGTCCTGGTTCAGGCTGGTGAGGAGAAGGGGTGAAGCAGAGCAAGCAGGGAGGATGAGCAGTGCAGAACAGGGGTTGGGTCCCCCTCTCACATCAACGTGTCTGGTAGCACATGGGCTCCCCAGGTGGGTATTTACACAGCAAAACAAGCACCGTGCCTCAGGTCCCCCTCCCACCTGACAGTCCACGGTCCCCACAGGAGAAAGGGGCAATGCAACTGCTGTTTCACTTCTTCAGGTTTATAAAATTGGGTAAGGAAGAGAAATGCCCAGCGAAGGCCTTTGTGCTGGGGCTCATGCTGAGCTTGGCCGTGCTGGTCCCTGCAGCTGCGACAGCCACGCAGACCTCTCCTCCTCTCCCCGACAGTAGAGACCCCTGCCATGAGTTCTGCCAGGACCTCAGCTGTTAGCGACTTGCCACGAGTACCCTATTCCCACTGCCTTTTCCCTCCGGATGGCAGGACTACCCTCCTTGACATCCCTCAGGCCAGCATCCCTCCCAGTACAGCCCCGAGGGGAGCCGGCTGCCCCCCAGGGCTGGCTCCTGCCCCGCTCTGACCCTCCCTCTGGGTAAGCACCCTGAAAACACCAAATCACCCCACACAAACACAGCCAAACCCTCCACCGTGCCCCCCACGCATCTGCTCTCCTGTGTCCTCTCTCAGTAAGGACATGCCACTGACCCAGCCCGGTGGGAAGAGCGAAGCTGCTCTTCTTTCGTCCTAGAGGGAAAGCCGGGAGAATCATCCTCCTCAGTGAGGTGTGCTTTCCAAACAAGCCCCAGAAGGACGGCTGTGGTGTACCCATCCCCAGCCCCGGCACCGTCCCACAGAGCCCTCAGGCACACAGATATTGCTGTGCTCCTGGGAGCTGGCAGCAGGGAGCCAAGGTGAATGGCCACTGATTCAGAGCCAAAGCATGACTCCAGGGTGCCGCTGGCCTTCGGAGCGGGCACAAGGGCTTTGAGGCTGAGACCTTCAGAGCAAGGAGCAGATGGGGAAGGCGAGCTTGGTATGGCTCATGGAAAATGTTTTCCCTCCACATGACAGAACAGGCAGCAGGTCTTTCCTCACAGCAAGAGCTGCGTGATTCCAGCTGCCTGGAAAGGCCTGAGGACTATGAGATACCCCCTGCTGCATCCCCTCCAACACTGGAACCCTATGGAATGAGCAGCGTAACCAACAGCAGGACCTCACCCCCATCCCTCCCCACTCCCCACCACTTCCCAGCCCAAAATTCTTGCACCCTTTCCCCTTTCTCCCTTCTCCAGGTCCCAGAACACCCCCTGTAAGCAAAATCCTGTGCCGACCATCACCTCCTCCCCGTCAGGGATGGGTTCTGCAGAGCCCACTGCCGGCGCATCAGTCTCAGTGTTATAGCCAGAAAGAAATAACCCCGTACCATGTTTAGCATGCGTCTCCCAGAGGAAGCATCTTGACATCTGCAAATCACAGAAACTGTGTGGCCTGCACCGATAAAACCCAAACACGTTACAACAGACAGAACTTGAGTTACAACGGTGGCATCCCCTGGCTACATTACCTCGGCCCTCCCTATTACTCCACAGCCAGTTCATTATCATTAACGTCACTACAATAAATACCAGAACAAAATTGACGGTGTTTGGCCAGGTTTCTTAAAGCATTGCACCCCTCCTCCTTCACTCTGTGTCTTTTCAGCCTTGGTTTCCATCCGTATCAGTCATCGGAGGAGCCTTTAGGGACAAACCGTTTGACTAGGTGAGCAGCCAGGATATAAGAGCCATGCAGAAGTGCGGCTGTGGCATCAATGACCAGTGAGAAGATGCCCCCGATCCCGGTGGCCAGGTCTTTGAGGACAGCGGGAATTGCACAGATGGAGCGGTAAGGGAAAGCTGCGAGGTGAAGGACAAACCCCACGGGGATGCGCAGGATCCTGTAGATGACGAACGCCACGTCTTGAACAATTTGCAGGAAGCCCAGGAAGATGTTGACGATGACCCTCCCCACGTCGTAGGGGATGCTGATGAGCACCATGCTGATGGCTTTGAGGTAGGACATCACCGCGTTCCACAGGCTGTAGACCCCATGGAGAACTGTACCACCAACCCACTTGATAACCAGCCACAGACAATAAAACACAAACTTCACCAGCTCCACAAACACGTAGATGAGGAGTTCCAGAAGTTTGATGAAAGGGGTAGCAATGATGCTGGCCACTTTTCTCACCAAGCCGCTCTCCCTGGCCTCCTGGTTGTCACTTGTTCCTACTTGCTCTCCAGAGCGGATCTGACTGACAGCTTGCAGTACAGCTGCTCTCTTCTCCTGGCTTTGGTTGTCTTCCCCACAGTTGCCCTTGAACAAGTGAACCCCTGCTAGAAGCTGCTTCTCCAGCTCTCCCACCATCAGGTCTGCCAAGCTGTTTTCATCATCCGTTTTCTTCACTAGTCCCAAGGACCATCCCTCCGGAGAGTCACAGCAGGCTGCTAGCCAGAGGGTCTCTGGCACGGACACCTTGCCATTAACTCGGACACGGGAAGGAATCGCACCTGCAAGGAGAAAGAGATGATCCCTCTTGGAACAGTGGGGGACCAGAGCTTGCTCCACTATCCTCCCCATGTCCCTGTGCCAGCTTTTGCTCAGAGAAGGGCTCAGAGGGACGGCGTTCGTGAGCGTGTAAGTGGCCATCTGGAAATCCTCTTTATTGAGCAAACTGGGATTGAGCAGCCCTCTCTCGTAACCGGAGCCCACGTAGTCTGAGGTCAGGGCTTGATTTGCACCAAGGCTGGCCACAGTGCCAATGACATCGGCTTCATGCACCATCTCCTGCAGGTCATTTTCTGGGTCATCTATCTGAAATAGTAGAGAGGAGAGTTACTGGCTGCAATCTGCCTTTCCAGAAAGCAAAGTGTAAAACGGGCCAGGAAGCCTATCTTCCATTATGACTGCTACTACACGCTGTGCCTTCGACCACATCCTGCGCTCCCTCCTTACTTTCCTTGCAGTGCTTCAGAGGAGTGTACGCTCTACTTGGCTGCCCTGCCAAACACATCAGTTTAGGCTGCAAGGGATGCCTGCACCTTTCCAGTCTGGCCCGCAGCACAACACAGCTCCAGAACCTCACCAACTACCCTGCACCAAGCCTCTAACTTGTGCCTTTTTTTCATCTAGAAGAGATTTTCAAGACCAATAGATGGCTTGATTTGGAGCCATGTTGTCACTTCCTACAGTGGTGGTACCTCCAGTAAATTTAAGCAATTACCACAGCACCTTCATTCAGCCCCTCTGAACTATCAAATCCAAGCCATGAAAAAAGAACATAGCATGCAAAACACCTAGAGGAAGCATATACTTCTCACCAGTGATTGTGTAAGAAGTCAGAATGAAGCCAGGCACCAGGGCAGGTGACCTGAACTTCCCCACCTTGAACACAGACACGGCAGTCAGCTCCTAGGGCACTCTCAGGGCTTGTCATTAATTGTCTGAACATTAGGTCATTAATAGTCTGAACCTCATGTCATTAACAATCTGAACCTCATCCCTAATGATCGTGCAGAGCTCCTGGCATAACATGGGTGAGTGTGCCATCACCACAGGTCCTCGATGGCATCTGTGCCACCTGCTCCTGTCTGCCGTTCCCGTGCCGTGGAGCCAGAGGTAGCAATTGCTGCCGCTGGAATTTGTCCTGGAATCACAAACAGGGAAGTAATGAGCAGTGGGAGCAGGACCACTGAACGCCAGTGATCGCTCAGGTCTTTCTGGGTGGCTGCAGCTCTGTTTGCTCCTTAGTCATTCCTACTGACACTGCCTGCAGCCGCTCCAGGGGTGTGCCAGATTGTTGTTTTCCTCCCCAAATTAGAGGGTGAGGGTGCTGATAGAAGCTCAGGGACGGCAGACGGTCCCTGGCAGTCACTGCCTGCTGTAGTCTCTGTTTCAGGGACTGTGGCACCCAGGTCCCAGCACTGTGCTGGCCCGATTAAACCTGCTGTCTTTGCTCCTGGCCTCTAGACTGTTTGCTGCGCTATGTAATATGCACTTCGGAGACATACGTGGCAGACAGCTCATAGTCTAACTCGAATCACCTCCTTGCAGCTCCGCGTCAGCCTGTGCTGAGAGTCAGGATGGAAGGGCCAGCGCGTGTCAGCAGTCACCCATCACCCTCACTGCAGGAACCGAGCTCTGGCCTCCTGCACCGGCCAAGCCCCCGCGGCCCGGGCTCGGGGCTCTCTCTGCACCACAGCTGGTCACAGTGCCAAGGCTGGCCATGGCAGAGGGCTGCATCATCCCCACCTCCTGCTGGGAGGGTTTCTTGCACTTGGATCTCAAGCATCCGATGCTTATTGCCTCGGGACTGGAAGGATCACGGCGAGTCCTATGTGCTGATACACAAGTCGTAGCTTTTTCTGAACACGCCACTCAAAAAAGACTCATCCTGCACTGCATCTGCCTTGCTCCGCTCCTCCTGCTCAGACACCCCAAACTCCCGGGCTGCAGTTTGCATTCCACAAAACCACTGTCCCTTCCTGCTCCCCCCAGCTCATTCTCCCTGTTCCGATGAGATAACCGTGTTGTGCCAAGGGACGAGGGATGCACCCGGTGTGTTTAACCCCACAGCACAGGTGAGTGGGGAATGGGCACGGTCACGATGCTGTGCCTGGGAGCTGCTCCCCATGCTACGGCCCTTTTGAGCCTGACACCCTTGCGGAGACACTCATCCCCTCTCGATCCCAAGGCAGTGCTGCTATACCACAAGGACATGTAGACCCAAGTCAGGTCAGATCGGCCTCCTGGCAGACATTCCCAGCCTACAGGAACCAGATGGTACAAACTTAATTTTCGCTCCTTATGAGCTGACGTATGCAGACCTTGATGTGCCTATCAAAAAAATATGTCTCTGGTTACCTGCTCAGCTGCAGGTTTTTGCACATACCATCGGGATTCTTTAGGTGCCATTAGAAAAGAACACGAGAAAAATGCGGCCGTGTGCTGTTCGTGCGTAAGGCTCTGACATCACTGAGTTATGCTTATAATAACTCATATTATGGTTTGTAATAACTCACGCGTAACTGAGGTTTTCATGTCTCCTCCAGCTCAGCCCCAGAGGCGAGCTGTCTCCAGCACCACATCTCATCTGCATTGCAAGCTACCTCGCCTCACTGCTTCAAAAAGCTTTCGGTTTGTGTCACCGCCAAAGCATACCTGCATTATTGGAGTCAGCCAAGCAGCCACCTGCCCAAATAACCTGGAATAGCTAAGGGCAAGATCCAAGCAGACACGTAAACACCTCATTCATTGGATGGGGATTTCAAAATAAATTATGCACCTGAACCCCTGTATGGATGTCAGCACCTAACAATATTGATGTCTTTCATAATGGGGGGTTGCAGCTTCACAGAAGGGACAGAAGATGGGGCTGGGAATGTTGGGTAAAAGTTTGTCAACACAGAGCTATTAGAGCAGGCAGCTTCCATCAAATCTGGCCACTTAACAGTGTAGGATAGAGTCAACAGTGTAGGATAGAGTCCAGAGGAGGTCACGGAGATAATCAGAGGGCTGGAGCACCTCTGCTATGGGGACAGGCTGAGAAAGTTGGGCTTGTTCAGCCTGGAGAAGAGAAGGCTCCGGGGAGACCTTTTAGCACCTTCTAGAGCCTGAAGGGGCTACAAGGAAGCTGGGAGAGGACTTTTTACAAGGGCCTGTAGTGACAGGACAAGGGGTAATGGGTTTAAATTGAAAGGGGAGAGATTCAGATTAGATATCAGGAAGAAGTTCTTCCCGGAGAGGGTGGTGAGGCACTGGCACAGGTTGCCCAGAGAAGCTGTGGATGGCCCATCCCTGGAAGTGTTCAAGGCCAGGCTGGCTGAGGCTTTGAGCAACCTGGTCTAGTGGAAGGTGTCCCTGCCCATGGTAGGGGGGGTGGAACTAGATGGTCTTTAAGGTCCCTTCCAACCCAAACCATTCTGTGATTCTATGACACTGTTACCCACCTTAGTACCATCCCAGGCAAACTTCAGCATCCCACCCCCTTGCTATTTCCTCAGGCAGGCTTACACCTTTTGCGGTGGACACCTTTTGGTATTTCATCTGCCCTTAGCACAGGTCCCAGGAAGGAGGCACCGCGCATCTCAGGCCAAGGTTTCTGTTGTAGGATGCTCACATGAGTGGCTCTAGAAGTACCTGTTTCTCTCGACTGTCTACCACAAGAGATGCAAGAGCATCTCAAAGGTAGGTACAGGGGTGTGATACACACCCATCTTGGTCATCTGGCTGGTGATAGTCATCAACCAAATGAAAACACAAGGTGCTTCATCCAGCCCCTCCTATGTTAGGACAGAAAAAGCAACTCCAGAGTTTTCCATCTCCCTCTAAGCTGTAGAAAGAGTCAAACCCATAGGTTTTCACAACCAAACCAGGATGAGGTGAAAGCTACCCATGTAATTTGCTGTCAACCCCTAGGAAATCTGCGGCAGAGGTGGCTTTCAGACCCCAGCCTGGGGGACTCCCATCAATGCCCTACTCATCAGCCTGCTCTGCCTGCTCTCTAATTTGTCACTAATTGCTGAATTAATCCACTGTTTCCAGCTGTCAATTGGCAGTGGGTGGCACTGGCATTCCTCGCACTTCTCACCCAATTACTGCCTCTGCACTACATTTGGCATTCGTTCCTCAGGCAGACATTCCTGAGGAGGTAGGCATGCAGGGAGGTGCCCTCACCACTTACATCATTACCCAAAATACACCATGTGACAGCCCTGCGGCCTTCACCAGAGTGCAGTGTTGTTACAGTGATTTCTTTCTGCTCGCCGAGTCTCTGCATCTCCATGTGTACACACACACAGGCATAAGCACATGCCACTGTGCAGCTGAGCCTGCTCATCCCCGGCTATCCCTGACTCGGCAAGGAAGTTACCCAGAAAATAAGCAGTATAGCCTCAATGCTGCAGAGCAGGTGTTGCTAAGGGTCCCCTTCAGCAGCCATCTGACTTTTCCTGACCATCTGACCTTGCCTTGATAGGCACACACATGACGGGTGTGACACCTCTTCCCCACTTTCTCCTCCCAGATCCCACATGACGGCGTCTGAGCAGGATGTATATGCTTATTTCTTGAGTTACAGGAATTTTTCATAGCCCTGATTTCTTCCCCTTAGAGATTCTTCTTTTTTCTTCTAGAGGTTTTCTGTCTCAGCCTGAGGTTCTTCCAGTGAACCACAGAGCTGCTCCCTCCCACCCCTGAGACACCTGCATTTCAGCAGTGGGTGAAGGGGGCCCGTTAGTGTAAACTCAGAACGGGCCTACAGCAAGCCATGAGGATGCTCTGGAGAAACCAGAGCAACTAAAGGTAGCACCAGGCCAGTTATTTCTGGGGTACAGTTTGGAGGCAGGAGGCATGGGGTTCTGGAGTGCTGGCAGGGATAATAAGGTGAGGGGTGAAGAGGGATGCGGCAGGGAAGCCAGGTAGAGGGAGGTGCTGGAGCACCGAAGCTGCTGTGGAGGGCCTGCCCCATGGCAGGAGTGGCTTTCCAGCCTGCTTGGGCAGGTCTGGTGAGTCAGACCATGAGGAGCAGGAGGAGATATGGTGGCTAGAGGTGACAAAGGGCATCAGCAGCTGAGGAAATGGGAAAGGATCTCATCTTGTCGCTCTGCCTTGCTGCCTCCATGGCAGTGCCAGCAGATGCTCACTCTCCTAGGTCCTCTTTGTGCTTTAAAAACTCATCACCCTTCCTCAACTCCACAATGGCAGTCCGCAAAAAGCTTCCCTCTGGTTTAAAAGGGCAAGCAGGTACCTCCCGCAGCCATCCGTGCAGTGGAAGGAGAGCAGACCAAAAGGCCCTTGGGAACTCCTACAACTCACAACCCAGCCCAGGGCGCAGGGAGACAGTTCAAGGTGAAGAGAGGGACATAGGATCTCCTGTCTTCACTGCCTGTGACATTGTCGTGTATCCCACCACCCCACACTAGGACAATGAGCGTGGCACCCACTCTCTTGGGACAGGTGAGCTCTGATTCTGGCTACGTCCAGCACGCGAGGGCCCTGCTCCCGACACGCTGCTCTGATCCTGCGGCCGCTCCTGCCCTGACGAAACACCCTTGCACACTGCCAAATTTTCCTGAGCTCAACAGATGGGGGTAGTTTGATGTTTGCCACAAAATGCCCCATGATCACTGATGAAAAACCTGAAACACAGCAAAAACTGAGAGGTAAAGCGTATTTGTTCTCTTAAGGCCCCGGTAATTTTTTAAGGATTTACTTAAATTTAACAGCCTGAAGGACTTGCTTAAACATGCTGAGGGTCAGGGGTGACAAAAACCACTAAGCTCTGGCAAAATCCATTTTATACGGCACACCTCTGACTCTGCCGAAGGATGCACGCTGCAGGACTCGGCAAAGTCACTTCCCTAGATCCTGCGACACAGGGACACCGCAGAAAGCTGCAGCGTCGGCTCGGCGAAGCGCAAACGGGTGTTTTATCCCTGCCCAGCGAAGCTAAAGACCTCCTGTCAACACTGCGATCGCCCTGGCAGCAGAACAAACTTCAGCTGGACGTTGAGCCCTGCGACCCAGGGGCCGTGACAGCCGGCTGGGAGGGCAGGCGCTCCAGCTCGTGTCGGAGGATGTCCTCTCCCAGTTTCCATTAAAAGCCCTGGGGGACAAGGAACTATTTGTTTGCTCAGTTCCAAGCCTAAAAATATGCTCTGCTCGTGTTAAATTAATATCGAAAGAAGTTCGACAAGCAGAGCTCCCGCCTCCTCTGCAAAATCCTGGCCCCAGCTTCACCCTGGAGAAAAGGTTCTCCGGGAATATTTGCTTTACAGGGAAGGACAAGCTGACTTACCTGCGGCTCGACCAGCCACCTCTCCTCCTCGTTCTGGGCTGGTTTCGTATACTTAAAAGCCGAATAAAGCGGGATTTTGTCCTTAGTGCTGTAGAGGGTTGCGAAGCGTGGCTCTCTGTTGTACCGCTGACAGATCTTCACGTGGAACGGCTCCGTAAATCCTTCGGGTGGGACTTGTCCAGGGAAGAACACGTTACACTCGGCAAAACCCGTTTCATCCTCTCCGACAACTCTGCCCCGAGAAAAACCTGGGAAAAGCGAGAGGCAAAGCAAAAACACCGTCGCCGTCTTCATGGTCCCG